GGCATTGGCGGTGGAGGCGGCCGGCGGTGGCGGTGGCGGTGGAGGCGAGAGAATTGAAATAATGAAATGGTTTAGGGTTTTGTTAGGATTTTATACTTAAAATAAATTTGGAGGGTAGATAGTAGGGTGGGTATGTAGATTATTTTAATTTAAAATATTATTATTAATATTAATGATAAAAATTAAAACCTGATTTTTGATTAAATAAAGTATAAACCTGATTTTTTAAAAGACAAAACTAAATACCTTGTTTAGTGTAATTTCCTCTTTTTATTAGATGTGGACCCCTGTTGCCGTGGGCTGTGTAAAAGTTTCCAAAACCCAATTTTGGAAGCATATGAACGATGTTACCCACTGCAACCCATAATTCAAAATTCAAAATTTCAAAACGTTACTTTTTAATTAAAAAAAAAAGAAAAAAAGACGAAACGTACAACACAACCAAACGGTCGATTTCCATATAGAATCCGACCCAATTGATGCGAACCACCCAAAAAAGAACACTGCGCACCTGGCGCATAATATCACCCAAAGTGCACACGATGATCTTACAGCCATTTTCGACTTTGGTAAAAGACCAGTCTGATTTCAACTCCTCCTATTCTCTCTCTCTGACTACACGTCCAGTTCAAGTCCAATTAAGTCTTACTTTTTTACTTTTTATCGTAAGTTTGCTTTCGCCATTTTTTTACAGAACTTATGTTTTCTGATTCATTTGTTTGGAGCTGGAATTGATTCATAGTCTTACAATTTAAGATCTGTATTATTCGTGTCAAAGAGAGGAAGAAATTAAATTTATACAAGAAGATGACGACAATGGAGAGTTTGATTGGATTGGTGAACAGGATTCAGAGGGCCTGCACCGCCCTAGGTGACTACGGCGGTGGCGACCAGGCTTTTTCTTCTCTCTGGGACGCTCTTCCTTCCGTCGCAGTCGTTGGCGGCCAGGTCTGGATTTTTAATCATTATATTTTTCATTTTTTTCTTATGTCAAATATAGTTGAGCTGTTAAAGTGGGAAATTTAGGGGAACTTATAGATCCACTCTGATAAAGAGAAAAAATGACAACTTTTTAGATATTGAGAGGATATTTTCATTGATTTAAGTTATTATGTGGGCGTTGGTAAGATTTTTATTTTTTTCTTTTGTGTAATGAATTTCAACTGTGTCTTAATATATTTTTGGTTTCTGATTGTGATTTGAGCTCAAAACAGAGTTCAGGGAAGTCTTCTGTGTTGGAGAGCATAGTAGGACGAGATTTCCTTCCTCGTGGCTCTGGTTAGCCCGGACCTTTACTCTGATAAACTTGGAAATGATATTTGATTAAAGCCGGGCATTGCAATAATTTACTCATTTTGTGTATCTTGAGTTTAGGTATTGTTACAAGGCGACCACTAGTGTTGCAACTTCACAAGACAGAGGAAGGGCAGCAGGAATATGCGGAATTTGGACATATGCAGAGGAGAAGATTCACTGATTTCGGTATGTGGAATTTTTACTGCTTACTGTTCTGGGATGAATGAAAAATGTGATTATATCTGTCTTTCTGATCTTGGATATTATTTTGCCTCTATTTCACAATCGAGGTCATTTATATTGTTGTTTTATTATTATCCTCGTGTTAAAATTGCAAAATGAATGGGAAGCTTCATTGTGTTTGTAAGCAGACCTGAGATTCATAAAATTGGTTTATATTATGGAAAAGTTCAGAACTCTGAATATACGCAGGTAGTTGAAAAGGAAAGTTCTATTATGCCAGTTCAACTGAGTTGACTCTTTGTTCTTTGTTACTTTGGGTGCACCATCTTTATCTTATAAATTCAGCTTAGAGAGTGAAAATATGACCTACTCGAGGCTTTTTTGTACACTCTTCAATTAACTTAGAGATTAAGCGTCTTCACGTTAATTGTGATGTATACATTATTGCATACAACATCCCAAAATCTCTTACTTCAAAGTATTACAAAAGTATTGAATTGAATTGGATGAAGAAAATGTGTGTCACTGATTTCATTTTCTCATGCAGCCTTGGTTCGCAAGGAAATTAGTGATGAAACTGATAGAATCACAGGGAAGACAAAGCAGATTTCTCCTGTTCCTATTCACCTCAGTATTTACTCCCCCAATGGTATATTATTCATTTGCAATTTCTCTTAATTCTCTCAAAAGGAATGAATATTTTCCAATTTATGCTAGCATCTTCCCACCACTAATGCTTTATGAATTCTTTTATCTTGCAGTGGTCAACTTAACTCTAATTGATCTACCTGGTTTAACAAAAGTTGCTGTTGGTACTTCCTTGTTTGCATCTCTTCCAATTATTGGTATGTTAGTCAGTTGATATGAACTTAATCTAACACAAGGGCGTTAATTCTTTGCAGAGGGCCAACCAGAAAGTATAGTCCAAGACATTGAAACTATGGTTCGATCTTATGTTGAGAAGGTAAAGCTTAAATATTTCTTTTAGCCACCCCCCCCCACCCCACCCCACCCCACCGGTTTGATAACCATACTTTTCGAACTCTTTTTTTTACATACTCATTTTCAACCTCACATTTACACAATAAAATATTTTGCACGTAAACCCAAAATTTCTCCCAACTTTTTAACCACACATTCTCTTGAAAATCACTATTCAAAACTCTTTTTTTGAAAAGTATGGTTGTCAAATGGGGGCTTAATGTTTCTATGTCATTTATTGAGTTAGTTATTACTGAACTGCAAATCAACTTTATCTTGATGTAAATTGATTATCATTGGTGTCTAGAAGTAAAGATTAGTTAAAATATGTTTGCCTTTGCACCCTCCCCCCAAAGCATAATTCATGTCACACTGTGCACTATTTGTACCTCTCTATGTTGAACCTGAAATTGCTTATGTTTTGTCATTGTACTTGATGATTTTGTATCACGAACAGCCCAACTGCATCATATTGGCAATATCTCCGGCAAATCAAGATATTGCAACATCAGATGCTATTAAGCTTGCGAGGGAAGTGGATCCGTCGGGTATGCTCTTTTGCTATTTGATCAATTGAATTGTGGTTTTGCAAAAACTGTCAAATCAATTGGTGATTGTCATATTTATGGAGCTGTATTTGCAACTTATGCAGGTGATCGTACATTTGGAGTGCTGACAAAGCTAGATCTGATGGACAAAGGAACTAATGCGTTGGATGTGAGCTCTCTCTCTCTCTCTCTCTCACGTACAACCACCAGCTGGAGTTATAAGAACGTTTTTTTCATTGGAATATTATAGTTCTGAAAATTTAAGAAGACATTGTGTGGTGTGTAGTAAATAATGATGAAAGAAAATAAAGTTCTATGATTTGAATTGTTAATGATTTAGTTGTTTTGAAATTGTTTTCTTTTTTACTTTTTGTCTTCCAATTTACCCAAATAGTTTATCCACCAAACTTTTTGTCATTGTGTTCCCCCTTCCACAGAATCTCTAATCCTTGTCCAGCTAACTCCTCTTTTTAGTTTACCATTAAAGACTGGAAACTTTCAACTAAGCTTTTCAATTCTCTTTCTTAATAGGTTCTTGAAGGAAGATCTTACCGTTTACAGCATCCCTGGGTGGGTATAGTGAATCGTTCACAGTCAGATATCAATAAAAACGTTGATATGATTATTGCAAGAAGAAAGGAGCGTGAGTATTTTGCTACAAGTCCTGACTATGGGCACTTGGCCAGTAAAATGGGTTCAGAGTATCTAGCAAAACTTCTCTCGAGGGTATATTATAGCATCTCAATTTTATCTTGATTTCCTGCTAAGTTACATTGAGTAGAGTTCACATAGATCATTGTTTTGTATTTCAGCACTTGGAATCTGTAATTAGGGCTCGAATACCAAGTATCACGTCATTGATTAACAAAAGCATTGATGAACTTGAATCTGAGATGGATCACCTTGGAAGGCCTATTGCTGTTGATGCAGGGGTGAGCTTCTAGAATTTCTCATTGGGTTTTCTGAATTGAAGTCTATAAATTTTCTTGGCAACTGATATATGGATTTCAGGCTCAATTATACACTATATTGGAACTTTGTCGCGCTTTTGACCGGATATTCAAGGAACATCTGGAGGGAGGGTATGAAAGAAAAATTGCTTACTATACCCCAAATTTTGCATTTGGAAAATTTTTAATCCATTATTGTACATTTGGTGTGTTTTGTACTTAAACTTTTGGCCTCTGTAGGTTTTACTCCTCTTCAATACATCTGACTATTAATGAATGGTTTCTTGTTTCCCTTTTTACTACTGTTCTGACACGTGATAGTTTACTTGATATATTGGGTTCTTATTTTTCATATTGTTTTCTATACCTTTTAGCCCCAGTTTGGTGTCCATTATTTAAAAAAAATAAATAAAGAGTTTTGAATAGTATTTTTAGGAGAATGTGTGGTTAAAAAAAGTAGGGAAAAGTTTGGGTTTACATGCAAAATATTTTATCATGTAAATATGTGGTTGAAAATGATCCTGTAGCAAAAAGAGTTTTAAAACAATGGCCACAAAACACAGGGGCTTATTAAATAATTTTTAGAAAGGTTTTTTTAGTATATGTGGTTTTGTAGAGTTGTGCCTTCCTGACAAGCCTCTTTTAAGGCAAGAATTTACTGATGACATTTTATACTTCCTGGGTAGTTAATCCAAAATAGGATTCCAATCTTTTACACTTTACAGGGGGGAAATTTTTGTATGCAGAATCACCTGTCTTTTCGATTTTAAATTTGCTCAAATTCTTCAAGATTGAACCAAATTAGAATCTGGTCCTATCTTTTACTATTTTAATTTTGATTGGAATTCTAGAAGTTTGGATTAAAATTTGGAAGTTCTGGAGGAAATTTCAAGTTTTTAAACTTGTTCAATAACTTTAAGAGACAAAATTATCATTTGTTGTAGATTGGAAGAAAGTGTTATTTTTATCAATTGTTGCTTGATCATGCCTCGATGTTTGTTGCTTTCTTGCTACTACTACTTATATAGTAGGTCTTCATATGATTATTAGCTAATCAGCTTGTTCATTGTTTCAGCCGTCCAGGTGGTGATCGAATTTATGGAGTTTTTGACAATCAGCTGCCAGCTGCTTTGAGAAAACTCCCATTTGATCGGCATCTTTCTTTGCAAAATGTGAGAAAAATTGTTTCAGAAGCTGATGGTTATCAACCACACTTAATTGCTCCTGAGCAAGGTTACCGACGGCTTATTGATGGATCATTAAATTATTTTAGGGGGCCTGCTGAAGCTTCTGTTGATGCTGTAAGTAGTTTTGATATACTTCACTGGGAGGATAACTTCTTTTCAAATCACGTGCTCTGGCCATGTCACAACTGACCTATTAAACCTTGTTCAGGTTCACTTTGTCTTGAAGGAACTTGTGAGGAAGTCAATTGGGGAGTGTCAGGTGAGTTGTATGTTGTTAATAATTGTGTTACTGTTCTGTTCTTTGTTTAAATACCATATTTACTTTCTGAATTGCTGTGGCGAAACAGGAATTAAAACGTTTTCCGACACTGCAATCAACTATAGCTGGAGCAGCCAATGAAGCCTTGGAAAGGTTTCGTGAGGAAAGCAAGAAAACTGTCATTAGATTGGTTGACATGGAATCTTCATATTTGACTGTTGATTTCTTCCGGAAACTTCCCCAGGAAGTTGAGAAAGTGGGAAAGCCGGGAAATCCAGCAGCTGCCAATACCATCGATCACATCTCAGAGGGACACTTCAGGAGGATAGCGTCAAATGTGTCGTCTTATATAAATATGGTTTCTGAGACACTGAGAAACTCTATTCCCAAGGCAGTGGTTTACTGTCAAGTGAAGGAGGCCAAACAGTGTTTACTCAATTACTTTTACACACAAATTGGGAAGAAAGAGGTACTGATTCTGTTGTCATTTTTATGTTGTAGATGTTAAACACGAGTTTTTTTTTTCCCATTACTGCACTATAGTGGAAGGGAAGATTCATATAGGAATTCTTTTACAAATACAGTTCTATAGATTTTGTTGAAGACATAACTTAAATAGATAAATTTGCTCTCTAATATCTAAAGTTATTAAATGAGATGGTTCGATCTCAGGTTTTGAGTTCGAGTCTTGTCACCGTCAAATTACGAAAACTGTGCTCGTGAGGGGGGCGTGTTGAAGACGTAGTTTTAACAATATAAGTTTGTTCATTCGCTAATAATTTAAGCTGTTAGATAGGTGGTACAAGTCTCATAAACATGATCTTGGCTAGTTTTATTTAGCACGTGTATATTTCAAGGATTCAATTTGAAACTTTTGCTGCTTGTTGCTTTCTCTTGGAATTATAATAGAGGGCACCATTGACTCATTCCTTTAGTGGCAGACTTATTTTTAGATACTCCACGTTTACCGTCAGAATATCATGTCTGTTCTTTTGGGTCATTACTAGGATTAGATGTGTCACTCTTTAAATCGATAGAGATAAATGGTTTTGACTCTATTTCAGGGTAAGCAATTCGCGGACTTGTTGGACGAAGATCCAGCCTTGATGGAGAGGAGGCTGCAATGTGCTAAAAGGCTTGAGCTCTACAAGAAAGCCAGGGATGAAATCGACTCTGTATCATGGGTTCGATAAAGTTGGTGTACAATAGAGAATTAGGTATCTTTTGTATGATAATATAGTTCTCGTTATGATGGGGGTGATTTCTCACTTTGATTGTCCATTGACAGCATGTATATTCATTACAATATTTGGCTTGTTGCAGTGATTTGCTTGTATCTGTTTCTGGTTCTTCAAAGTTTCAGCCTGATACAATTATTCTTTTTGTTTCTATTTTTCCTTTTTTTGTTCTTCGGTTTTTTCTCCATTGCAAAACCTGTAATTTCTTTTGCTTTAATTTGAAGTTGGCTTATCGTTTGATTTATGCGAACAAATTATAACATTGAAGTGTATGTTAAACAGAGAGAAAAAAGAAAAAAGAAGAAGAAAATAATAATTCTAGTTCGGATCTTACACAGGTTCTGCTGGAGATGACTCATGTACCATTCGCTAGGTTATGTTTGGCTAAACTTAAAAGGTTATTTCTGACTTTTGAGTAGTTTTTTTTAACGAAGCATGCTTGAGCTGTTGAATTTTTTTAGTTCAAAAACTTGCTTTCTCAGTCTTTCCTTTCCCAAAAAGTCCAAAAAGAACACAAAAATTAAGTTGAAAATTGAGCAAAGCATCTTATTTATTTCGAGGAAACAATCCTTTTTACAATTGCAGCATAACGCGACATAGAAGGCAGATAGGCAAGGTGGACAAAAATTGGAGGCACCCTCCTAAAAGCTTTGTTCATGCTCGAAACAAAGCTATCTATTAAATTGAAGGAGGAGCATAAGCTTATCTGAATTTTACAGCACCAACCTACATTATATTTGATCTATCTGATAGGTTTGGTTGGAATCTGGAACTGAACAGCATATGAATATCCAATTTCAATTTCCATTATCATCAACCATTCATGCGTAAGCAGACACACAGCACGTCAATTATAAATGCCGATAAATGAGGATCCAAGGACCGGAACAAAATTTCCTCATTCTAATTTATTATTTCAAGTAATAACTGGACATGCAGATACTAGAAATGTTTGCTCTCCATACAAAAGACATTTGTCACTAAAATGAACGAGCAATGCTATAGGTACAGAGAATTTTATACAGAAAATGGACAGAATATACACAATAGGTGGGCCCCGATTTTTTTAGCAATATTTAATTCATGTGGACCCCGCCTCTCCATGTGACTGGAATTAAAATTCTGTAAAAAATCTGTAAATATTTCCCGGTACTTGCAGCCTTTTTCAAAACGATCTATACCTTACGCGAGATTCACGTTCAGATGGTCAAACATGATGCTATTAATATGGTCTATGCCAATGTCAGATATGGGCTGCTCATCATCATCAATCGAGGGAATGCCACTGAGTTCTTCTCTGCTGAATTCATGTGCAGAGCAGACAAGAATCGAGTTCGATAACATAATAAAAAAAGGTTGAACCCCAACCTTGAGGGCCCCCACCGACCCTGCCCTGGGCCATTGTGAAAGAGGTAAATCGCAGGATGTGCCTCCCAGGAGCCAGGGTCCACCCACCCTTTATAAATTTTATAATCTGTCAAACTACGTTTATCCACATATTTATCAAATCAATTAATATATTGTACAATGAATTTGACAATAAGGTGGATAATGTGTGAGTTGGCAGACATTATGTCCATTAATTTGAAAGATTGTTTTTGAATTCAGTGGCAATGATCTATACACCTCACACATTGTCAAAATTATTGTGCAAATTCATTGTACAAGTAGTTTAATTCTTGAATTTTTTTAGTTCAAAAACTTGCTTTCTTATACAGTCTTTCCTTTCCCAAAAAGTCCAAAAAGAACACAAAAATTAAGTTCCAAAAACTGCAAAAACAACTGTAGTTGAAAATTGAGCAAAGCATCTTATTTATTTCAAGAAAACAATCCTTTTTACAATTGCAGCATAACGCGACAAAGAAGGCAGATAGGCAAGGTGGACGAAAATTGGAGGCACCCTCCGAAAAGCTTTGTTCATGCTCGAAACAAAGCTATCCATTAAATTAAAGGAGCATAAGCTTATCTGAATTTTACAGCACCAACCTACATTATATTTGATCTATCTGATAGGTTTGCTTGGAATCTGGAACTGAACAGAATATGAATATCCAATTTCAATTTCCATTAAAGTAATGTTATTCATCTTCAGTGGGGTTACAAACACAATCTATGTGACTCTAAATGATAGGTTAAATGAAATGTGAAATTAAATGACTTATGCAATTTCACCAATCATTTAATGCCACATTAAATCTACCTAAACTGTGTTTGTAACCTCAGGGGGGATGAATAACATTATTCTTTCCATTATCATCAACCATTCATGCGTGAGCAGACACACAGCACGTCAATTATGAATGCCGATAAATGAGGATCCCAAGGACCGAAACAAAATTTCTTCACACTAATGTAGGTTTTCAAGTAATAACTGGACATGTAGATACTAGAAATGTTTCCTCTCCATACAAAAGACAATTGTCACTAAAATGAACTATACCTTACGCGAGATACACGTTAAGATTGTCAAACATGATGCCATTAATCTGGTCTATGCCAATGTCAGATATGGGCTCCATGGGCTGCTCGTCATCATCAGTCGAGGGAATGCCACTGAGTTCTTCTCTGCTGAATTCATCTGCAGAGCAGACAAGAATCGAGTTCGATAATATAATAACTTGACAAGAAGAGAGTTAAAGAATTATTGCATGGCGCATTCTTGTTCACCAGGAATAACCCATAGCAGATGTAAAGCCATTTCTAGAAAGGCACACCAGATATACGCGGAATATTGTACTCAAGGAGGTTGGAGGGTAGCCATAAAGTGCTTAAAGCAAACATATAAATTTATAGTGGTTTGACAAATAATTAACAAATCAACACAAATAAATGTTAAAAGTTAAATAAAGCTAGTTGAAAATTCATTAAAAATTTTATATTGTTCCATTTAGCAGATTTTTATCTAATTTTTGTATTTTTTATTCTCTTTACTTTTATAATAGACTAAGTTTAGAAAATTGGAGTAATATTATCATAATATTAAAAGTGCAAAAAAGTTGGCACCAAAGCCCAAAAGTTTGAATTCTTTTTAGTTCGTCTTTTGAAAGGAAATGGCACAATGATGCAATGCCCATTGGGCCTGTTGAAGTAGGCCCAGCTGGTTTATAAATTAAAGTCCAGCTTGTGTTTTTATATGGAACAGAAAACGTGAATTGAAGATGCTGAAATCGTGTTTCTCACTTACCTGATGAAATGCACGCCTATGGAGTCACCACGTGTCGCCTCCAACGCCGTTGGATTGGCGACTGTTGTGTGACCCATTTAAAAGGGCTTCTAGGGTTTGAGTCCCATCGCTGCTTCTTCGAGAGTCTTCCATTTTCTCTCTTACAGTGTGAATCGTTCTCTCGAGCTTTCTCTTCTTCTCTGCAGAAATCAAATCTTCTCTTGTGATTTCTTAATCTCTCTCAATAGTGGGTAATCTTTAGTGATTCCTTTGAGTAGAATCTGTTCTTGTGTGAACTATAGTGTACGGTTGAAGAGAGATCTTGAATCTGTGATAATATTGGGCTTGTCTGAGTGCCATACCTTTGTAATCTCACTTTGGTTGTGATTCAGAAACAAACGGTGGTTAGTTTCTGTGATTGAAGCACAGATCGACGGATGATTTTTGGTTTGAGGCTCTGATAAATAAAGATATGGTTCTTTCCTTTTTTATTTGAGTTCATAGTGTGTTCGATTTCTTTACAGATTGTTGTTCTGTACCTTTTACATCTTCGATTGTGTTCGATTGTTGAAGTCTGTATTCTGGCAGATTATTAAGTGTTATTATTCAGATTTCTGAGTTCATGCTTTACAGATTCTTGAAGTTTATATTTCAGTTTTTT